CGCAGAACTTCCCGACGTTGCTTGAAGCGCGTCCACCATAGACTTTGTATGTAAACCTGCTGCTCCTGATGCTGAAATCGCGTTCGGTGTGAACGCACCATTAGTTGTTTACCTGTCATTTCCTTCTCTGTCACACACACCTGTCAGTAGTTTCTAATCAGTATTTTCATAAGCTGTTGTTCATCTCCTCATTCCCTCTGTTTGTATTTATTCTAGTTCAGTCCTCCACACCCTCGCTGGTTCATTGTTTGGCATGGCCAATAGTTACGGTCTCCTTGTTGTTTCCCTGCGTTCTACGTATTCCTTGTTGTGTGGCTGCCATGACAGTTTTGTTTTATTTTTAATAAATATCTTTATTTTTTTGGAAACTCTTCACCTCTGTCCGGATCTGGGTTCATTCCTTAGTAAACTGCAACAGTTCTACTGAAGACTCTAGCTGCTGTATTTTGTACTAATTAGAGATATTTAAGGACATTGTGAGATGGACTAGTAAATAGAGAATTGCAGTAACCACGATGACAAGAGACAAAGCGTGAGTGAACGTTTTAGCATCTGCAAGAGAGATCATTGATCTTTGTTTTGGCAACATTCCTAATGTGAAAAAGCCAGTTTTAATACTATTATTAAAATGTTTTGTGAAATCCTAGATCCAAATCTAGAACCAACTCAAGGTTCATGGGCACGATGTAAACCTGAAGATTTAAGATTTCAAATTATAGGGTCTTAATGAACCTTGGGACCAATTAACATCTCAGTTATGCTATTGTTTAAATAAACAGTTATTTGACATCCAGACCTTTAATAACAGTGAGATATGAACCTAGTATTTACAGCATACAGATCAGACAGATTATTGGATAAATAAATTTGAGTATCCTCTACATAGAAGTGAAAAGAAAGATTATATTTGTAAGTAACTTGAGCTAGAAGTAACATGTAAATAGAAAATAGTGGTGGGCCAAGAACTTTTTTTTATGTTCCTGCTCTTGGACGCTTTTTTCCCTCTCTCCTGCCCTCCCTTATCTTCCCTGCTTTGCTGTTCGGAGTCTCCTCTACGTTTTCATCCAAAACCAGAAATTATGGATATTTTTATTTTTATGGATTTGGTATAAGACCCCTTATGATGTTAAAAAACATTGGATCTGGCGTTCCCTCACCCGGACGCGGGTCACCGGGGCCCCCCTCTGGAGCCAGGCCTGGAGGTGGGGCAYGRTGGCGAGCGCCTGGTGGCCGGGCTTTTACCCACGGAGCCCGGCCGGGCTCAGCCCGAAGAGGAGACGTGGGTCCCCCTTCCAACGGGCTCACCACCTATAGGAGGGGCCAAAGGGGTCGGTGCAATGTGAAATGGGCGGCGGCCGAAGGAGGGGACCCTGGCGGTCTGATCCTAGGCTGCAGAAGCTGGCTCTTGGGACGTGGAATGTCACTTCTCTGGTGGGGAAGGAGCCGGAGCTAGTGTGCGAGGCTGAGAGGTTTCGGCTAGAAATAGTCGGCCTCACCTCGACGCATGGCTCTGGTTCGGGAACCAGTCTCCTTGAGAGGGGCTGGACACTCTTCCACTCTGGAGTTGCCTGCGGTGAGAGGCGCCGGGCAGGAGTGGGCATACTTGCTGCCCCCCATCTTCGTGCTGGTATGTTGGGGTTTACCCCGGTGAACGAGAGGGTAGCCTCCCTCCGCCTAAGGG